CCTGTGAAAATGCTAGTTAACCCTAAAGGGCTGTGACCCACAGGATGAAAACCACTGCTCTAGACCCTGAAGCACAGCAGGGAGCAAAGGCCCTCCCCTCCTGCTTGTGAACAGATAAACTTAGGAGCTTTTTATTTTCTTTCAAAGCTTTTTCCTTTTATTTATTTATTTTTTTTGAGACATGGTTTCTATGTGTAGCTTTGTAGACCAGGCTGGCCTCGAACTCACAGAGATTCACCTGCCTCTGCCTCCGGAGTGCTGGGATTAAAGGCGTGCATCACCACAACCTGTCGATTTAGGAGTTCTTAAGATGCCAGGCCAATGATTTGATCCTGGTTCCTACATGGTGGAATAAGAGAACTGATTCCTGGAAGATGTTCTCTGGCCTCCGTACATATGCACACACAGAAATGAAAAAAAAAAACTGTAAAAAGAAAAAAATGGTGGTGCATGCCTATTAATCTCAGCTCTGTGAAGAATGAGACAAGATTTACAGTTGAAGGCCAATCTGGGCTGCATAGTGAATTCAAGGTCAGCCTGAGCTACCATATAGTAAAACCTTGCCTCAGATAAACTACCCCACTGAATTAAAGGATACCTGGTGATGCTGCTTTCGAGGTAGAGTGCTGCTGCTTAAGCTATAAACCAAGCCTTGAGTTTTGTCTCTAGCACAGCAAGCAAAACAAAATAAAACAAGCCAGAGATGCAAAGAAAAAGGAGGGGAAAGGTCTGTCAAGAGGCTCCCCTCATTCCTGCAGCTGCGATCCCCAGCGCCTGGTATAAGCTGCTCAAAACTAGGGAATGGGGCCCCACATGAAAGGTGAGAACTGACTTCCACAAGTTGTCCTTTGACTCCCACAAGCATACACCATGGTATACACAAGTGCACACAATCGGTCAGTAAACAAATAGACGTTAAAAACCAATGGATGGATGCATGTTTGTATATGGAAGACTTATGCTCCCAAAATGGAGTTGGGGGAGGGGTGGAGTGCAGCCGGCTTCTTCCACCCAGTAGAGGCACAAGAGAGAGCTCAGGAGAGCTGCCCCTTGCTCCTCTCCTCCCTCTAGTGGCCTCCCCTCCCCTCGCACCTTCATGCGGCTGTAGACAGTGGAGACTGGTGTGACTCGGTGGTGTTGGTGGGAGCCCAGCAGGCCACAGAGACCACAGATGAACTCCTGGTCTTTCTCACAAAAGAGGCTGAGAGGGTTTCGATGGTGCACGCAGACGGTGGGCTCTGTGTCCCCAGGGAGCCTCAGGGCATCGATCACCCTTGCCAAAGAGACATTAGGCAGGGAGCTGCTGCAGTCTACTGACTGACGACACACAGGACAACGCAGCTCTGAGTCCAGGTGTTGGGACAAGGAGTCCAGGCAGCCTTTGCAGTAGGAGTGGCCGCACTGTAGCATCAGAGGCTCCTTGAAGACCTCCAGGCAAATGGGACACTGCAGCTGGTCATGTAGCTCCGGCACAGTCACCCGCCAAGCCATGCACACAGCTCAGCTGCAACACAGGCGGTCGTTGGTATTCCATCCTGCCACTCCCGTCCCTTGTTTTTTTTTGTCCCCAACCCAAGAAATGCTGGAAGTTTAGGGAGACAGATGCCAGCCCTGTGTTCTGACCTCAACCTACTATGACCTTTACCCATCTGGAAAACAAGGACTTAAATGGAAAAAAAAAATGGTCACTATGGGTCTAGATAGATCCACAGCTCAACTGGGAGTGTAACTCAGAGAGGTATAGCCACTTTCCCAGCATAATGCAGTCCTGAGTTCAGTCCCCAGCACCACAAATGTCACATGGAGATATGACACCCCCCCCAAACTCCCCCAGCACTGGGGATTGAACCCAGGGCCCTGCACATACTAGGCAAGCAGTCCACTGATAAACCCTCAGCCTTCCTTTCTCTTTTTTCTTTATATTTTGAGACCAGGTTTCATTAAATTGTCCTAGAGGTTCCAGAGCCCCAGCTCCCTCCAAGGGTTCTACTTAAGGACTCTCTCTCTCTCTCCTCTCATATTTCCAGACAGGGTTTCTCTGTGTAGACCTGACTGTCCTGGAACTCACTCTGTAGACCAGGTTGGTTTGGAACTCAGAGATCTACCTGCCTCTGCCTCCTGAGTGCCCAGATTAAAGGTGTGTGCCATCACTGTCTGGCCCATCGAGGCAATCTGAAAGCAAGATTATTATTTTTCTTTAGCGACAAGGCTCCTGTAAGTGGCGATAGCTTTGAGCTCTGTATGTAGCCATGGATGAAACTAAACTCCCAACCCTCCTCCTCCACCTGAGTGTAGAGCACTAGGAATACTGACTGGGATTACAGGTATGCCCCCATTATAGCCAGGGCTGGGTACAGAACCTGTCAGTACCTATTTACTAGCTATATCCCCAGCACCAAGGGCCAAGTCCCTTGTCCTAGAGCAACACTGTCCACAGAGAGGCTGATATGGGGAGCCTTTAGCACTTATCTCCTAGCTGCTCCCCTATGACCATGCTGGCAACCTCGCCCCACCCCCATTACTGCATTACCTGGTCTCTTGTGGTCCACCAGGCCTCCCACTAGGGTCTCAAACCAGCAGCTCTCTGGTCACTCAGGCTTTTTCTTCCTCCCAGAATGGTTCAGCTGACATGCAGACCTGTGGTACCCAGCTGGATACAGATTCCACTGTCTGCTGTCCACCCTTTCTCTCCCCTCCCCTTTCCCAGAAACACCTGTGTCCCCAAGGTCATCCAGAATCAGGTGGAAAGTAGGTCATACCACGAGACTGAGGCGGCAGCCTCTACTGGGTCCCTTATGATAACCTATATGGGCAGATAGTGGCCTTGGCCAGGATGGGGAAAGGGCAAGGCACGTACGCCCTCCATACTTACAAACTCCAAACCAAAGCAGGTGTGTGCTATAACAAGCAGCTTTCTGAATACCCCCAACCCAGACTTTTATTTATTCATATTTTCTCTTGTTTTGTAGGTTTGGGTAAGGTAGGTGTATGTGTGTGTGTGTTCATGTGTGTATGCAAAACAATGATAAAACACGTTGCTTATTCTTGTTATGTCAAGTTTGTGAGACCCCAAAAAGACCACCAAGGAGCCGACTCACTGATGCAAACGCACAAGGTTTAATATTAAGTTACAAGCCTCTGCAGGGACTCTGTCCCTCAAATTGGTACAGCAGCTGCAGGAAAAGGGTGACTGCCCTCAATTGTCAAGTGTTTTTAAAGGAAAAAGACCACAAGCAGGGTGGTATGTGCCTTGGCTGTTCAGGATTGGGTAAGAGTAGGTGACCTTTGGATTCACTGACGTGGAGGCTATGGGAGCTTCAAAATTGTTGCTAACAGTTGCCCACAAGAACAGTTGTGACGGAGTTGTTATTTATCAAAATTTGTCATTGCCTGACCATCCGTATGGGGTCATTTTGACTGGGATGGGCACACCTTGTGCCACGCAGGGAATTTCTCAAGGTGGCTTTTTTGAAGATGGAGCTAACGCCATCCTCTCCAGTTTACCTTGACTTTTTTTGTTTAACATGAACAGATCTTAACCACACAGTGTGATGGAGTGATGTGTATCTTACTTGCTTATGTTCACTCTCAAGGTCAAGTTGTAAACTGGACAGGGTGGTGAACACCTGTAATCCCAGAACTTGGGAAGTGCTGATGGGAGGCCAGAAGTTCAAGTTCATTTTCAGCTACACAACAAGTTCAAAGCCATCTTGGGCCTTCTGCGATGATCTCAAAAGCAAAGCAAAAGATCAAGTTGTAGAGCATTACCAATGCCAGTCCCTTGTCTCCTACCAGGCCAGGCTCCCAATCAAGATGGTGACTATCCTGGGAGCGGACAAAATCCTGGGCCAGGTAAGGGTAGGAAATGGGACGCTAGCAGTCTTTATTATTTTACTTAACACTTACTGCTTGCAGGCACATGGGGAGGGCAGAGGATAACTTGCAATAGTCCATTCTCTCCTTCCACCTGTGGATCCTGGTTGTCAGGGTTGGTGGCAAGCACTATAGACACACTTGGCCATCTTGCCTGGCCTTGTTTGTTTCATGCCAACCAGAATCTAGAGCATGCTGCAAGCACACTCTACCACTGAATTCCATCTTTAGCCAGTCCATGGGGTCTGTTTGTGAAACTGATGTGAAAACAGTCACACTCATTGTACTATTTGACATCAGACTCCTTTCCATAAATGTTATTTCTAAATTATGAACTTTTAAAATCTGAAATTTCAGCCAGGCGGTGGTGGCAGCACTTGGGAGGCAGAGGCAGGTGGGTCTCTGTGAATTCTAGGCCAGCTTGGTCTACAGAGATCTAGGACAGCCAACGCTACACAGAGAAACCTTGTCCTCTCCCCCTCCAAAAAATAATAAAAATAAAATAAAATTTGAAATCTTGGAGCAAGCTGTGGTGGCACACAGCTTGACTCCCAGGACTCGGGAGGCAGAAGCAGGCAGATCTCTTTGAGTTTGAGGCCAGCCTGGTCTACAGAGTGAGTTCCAGGACAGCCAGGGCTAATACTCAGAGAAACCCTGTCTCAAAAAACAAAAAGAAAAAAAGAAAAGAAAAGAAAAAGTCAGGTTTCGGGTTGAGGGCATAGCTCAGCAGCAGCAGAGCCCGCCGAGACTCCTCAGTGAAGGGCTGGGTCGTCTACACAGAGCCCCCCGTTTGGAGGCTGCAGACGCTATTGAGGGTCAGATCACTTGTCTAATCTTGACTACATCCAATCCTCAGCATCACACAAAAATAGTTCTTGAACATCTATCCATTCAGCCCTGAGATTAGAAGCAGGTGTGGCTCTCAGTCGCTAATTTCGTGGCCAGCAGAGACCTAAAAAAAGGCCTTCCGGCCTTCCGGCTGCGGGCGGCAGGCGCAACCCTTCAGGTTCCCCATCATGCTTTGCGTCCTATGTCACGTGTACAGTGCACGCCGGAGGCGCCTCCGCGCATGCGCACGGCCTGGGCCACGTGTATTTCTCGTGCGCAGCACACGCCCGCGCCTCAAACCCAGGCGTTGCTTCCTGGGAGGCGTTTGGCGACGGTTGAGCGGCAAGATGAGCGTCTTCTCGCGCCTCAGGAACGGAATCCCGCCGTCGCGCGACGACTGCCAGGTACGGAGCGGGGGTCGGGGAACCTGGTAGCACGAGCTGGGCAGCACCCGGAGCGCGGCCATGGGCGGCAGCACCCGCGGCCCCGGAGGCCTAGAAGGGGACGAAGTCCTGGGCCAGGTGAGGGCGGAGAGCGGGCAGTGGCCCGGGGGAGGCCAGCCAGGCGGCCCCGTCCCTGAGGCCTGCGCTTCTCTCTCCCTCCAGTCTCCCTATGAGCGACTGAGTCAACGGATGTTGGACATTTCTGGGGACCGAGGTGTGCTGAAGGACATCATCCGAGAGGGCGCTGGCGACACCGTAACTCCCGATGCTTCCGTGCTGGGTATGGAGGCCACTGGGCTGGCTGTTTGCCCTTGGGAAACTATGGCTTAAGGTTTTGTTTTTGCTTTTTGCTTTTTCTTGTTTGTTTGGTTTTTCGAGACAGGGTTTCTCTGTGGCTTCGGAGCCTATCTTGGAACTCCCTCTTGTAGACCAGGTTGGTCTCGAACTCACAAGAGATTCTCCTGCCTCTGACTCCCACCACCGCCCGACCCGGACTGGCCTCTTAGCTGCCTGTGTAGCTGAAGAAAGTCTCAGTCTCTTTCAAGTGTTGTAATTACAGGTGGGCAGGACTACATTTTATGTGATGCTAGGAACAGAACCCAGGGCATCGTGCATGGTAGGCAAACCCTCTGCCAACGAGTTACATCCCCAGTCTGATTTTTTTGTTTGGTTTCTGAAACATGGTGACAAAATTACCTCAGACCGAATTCCAACCTCCTGTAATTTAGTAACCTTGAAGTCCTGATCCTTCCTTCCTCTACTTCCCAAGTGTTGGAATCACAACCATGTGCACCAATCTGGTTGGTTTATAGCATTCTTTTGTTTTTTGCTTTTTTTGTTTGTTTTTTGAGACAAGGTTTCTCTTTGTAACTGCCCTGGCTGTCCTGGAACTTGCTCAGTAGACCAGGCTGGCCTCAAACTCACATCTGCCTGCCTCTGCTCCCGAGTGCTGGGATTATAGACATGTACCACCATACCCTGCTTATTTCGGTGTGTCCCTGTGGTATTGCTATGATGGCTCTAAGAGTGTCTTTGGAATGTTTTCTTCACACTTGTGCTTTTCCCCCTCTGCCCTAGTGAAATATTCTGGATACCTAGAGCACATGGACAAGCCTTTTGACTCTAATTGCTTTAGGAAAACACCTCGGCTGATGAAACTTGGAGAAGGTAAGGTCATCTAGGCAAATAAAAACATGATGTGTTTTAGGATTGTCACAGTGTCCAGTGGACAGGTTCGTATAGTTGGTAGCTGAGTTTGGATTTCAGGAGGCACCAGGTTGTCTGTCACTTTTCTACTTGGGACTTGATTTTTGGGTGATAGCTTACCTGGTAAGGTTATCTTGGCATCCAAGTTACCCAATGGGAACTGTTGTCTTTCTTCCTTCTTTCCTTCCTTCCTTCTTTTCTTTTTTTTTTTGTGTCTTTTTTTTTTTTTTTTGGTTTTTCAAGACAGGGTTTCTCTGTATTGCTTGTTGTCCTGGAACTTGCTCTGTAGACCAGGATGGCCTCGAACTTACAGAGATCTTCCTGCCTCTGCCTCCCAAGTAAGACAGAATTTCACTGTACATCACACACTGACCTTGAATTCAAAAGCCACCTGCCCCAGCTCTGGAGTGATGAAATAAATGATAAACATGAGCCTTATACCTGGATCCTCTGGGCACTTTTCCTTGTGCATTTATGAAATAAATGTAGTAAATACTTAACTCCCCAACATGTGTGGTGAAATAAGACATTGTAGGATCTGAGAGAATGGCTCAGTCAGTAAAGTGCTTGCCATGCAACCATGAGGACCTGCTTTCCATCCCACAGAACCCATGTCTAGAAAACAAAGACCAGATGTGATAGTGTGTGCTTATAAATCTCAGTGCAGGGGAGGCAGAAACAAATGGATCCCTGGAGCTCTATGGCCAGCCAGCCTAGCCTACTTAGCAGACTCAAGAACAATGAGAGTTCCTGTCTCAGAAAACAAGGTAGATGCCACCTGAGGAATGACAGCTGAGATTCTTCCCTAGCATCCACATGAGAGTGCATACACAACACACATATCTTTTTGAATTATTTAATCTGTGTATAGCATTCTCCCTGCATATGTGCGTGCCCTGAATACTAGGAAAGGGCACTGGAACATATTACTGATGGTTGTGAGCCACCATGTGGTGGCTGGGAATTGAACTCAGGACCTCTGAAGAACAGCCAGTGCTCTTAACCTCTGGGCCATTGCTCCAGTCCCCGAACACACATATCTTCAGAGGCCATGCTCAGATGAGAACCCCATCCCTGTGGACCTCACTAGAGTGGGGGGAGGTTGGCCTTTAATCCAGAAACTAACTCATAGAATTGAATGAAACATGAAGGTCTGCTTAATGAAATTATAGTCACCTTCCTGCTGGCAGGGCCACAGGCACTACATGAAAAAGAAGGCTTGAGATGAGAGTCCTGAGGTTTGAATAAGATCTAGGGGAATGGAGAGATGCCTCAGAGGTTGAGTACTGACTGCTTTTACAGCAGACTGGGTTCAATTTACAGCACCCACATGGTGGCTTACAACTATCTAGAACTCCAGTTCCTGGAGATCTGATGCCCTCTCTGGTCTCTGAGGGCACTGTATGAATGTGGTACATATACATAAATACATAAAAATAAAGGAAAATCTTGAAGAGTTTCAGTTAGAGTAGACCACAGATATTGAGGGCAGAATGCTTTGAAGAAAGAACAGACTATGTGACAGAGATGGAGCCTGTGAAAGCTGGCCTTTGGGGAAAGCAGGGCAGCAGAAACAAAACTGAGCTTTGAGTTGGGGCACCTGTGCAAAAGATTTGGGTTGGCACATACACTTGGAGTAGGGAGAAACTGGTGGCTTTGAATGGGATGTTGGGTGAGATTCAGTTGAGTTCTCTGTCCTTTCTTCCAGATATTACACTCTGGGGCATGGAGCTGGGGCTTCTAAGCATGCGCAGAGGGGAACTGGCCAGGTTCCTGTTCAAGCCAACCTATGCTTATGGCACCCTGGGGTGTCCGCCCCTCATCCCTCCAAATGCCACTGTCCTGTTTGAGATTGAGCTGATTGACTTCCTCGATTCTGCTGAGTCGGACAAATTTTGTGCACTCACGGCTGTAAGTTCAAGACCTCGGATTTTCTCGTACTTTCTAAAGGGAGGGATTGTATTGTATTTGGGTGGTTCTGTTAGATTGCCTGCCCTGGGTTCCACCCAAGCCTCATGTACAGTGGTGTCTACTTTCCTAGGTAGTATAAGGTATTGATTAGTTCTGTGTTAGCTGTTTGCTATTTAGTCACCCTTTGCTTAGTTCTCACTACAAGGTGGTAACTGCTTTTCAGGAAGTTGGGCACTGGTAGCTTATAATGAGGGTGATTGAGGCTTGGAGATATAATTCAATGATTCTCGCCTAGAATCCCCCTCTCCCCCCCGCCATGGGCTGGGGCTATGTAGGTCAGTGGTAGAATGATAACATTAATAAGCACCTAGGTTCCACCCCCAGAACCATAAAAATAAACTAGAGGATTTGTTCCTCCTTGAGATTTGAAAGGGGATTTTACTAACCAAAAAAAAAAGAAGAAGAAAAAGAAGCAGAGCTTGTAATCCCAATGACACCTGTGGTGCTCTGTGGGCCTGTTACTGCATCCACCTGTGTGGCCCCTGCACACACCACACAAGGGAGTAAGCAGAGTTCATGGTCCAAGAGGGAAATGCTGATGACTGTAACAGGGCTGCGATCGTGCCCTGGGGCTTCTGGCTCTGTGTCACTGCTCTTGTCTTTGGTCTTCAGGAGCAGCAAGAACAGTTTCCACTTGAGAAGGTCCTCAAGGTAGCAGCAACGGAGAGGGAGTTTGGCAACTACCTTTTCCGCCAGAATCGCTTCTGTGATGCCAAAGTGAGATACAAGCGGGTAAGAATGCTCTGGAAGTGTATAATCCAGAAAACTTTAAAATTTTATGTGTGTGGATGTGCAGTCTTCATGTATGTCTGCCCACATGCATGCCAAGTGACTACAAGGCCATAAGAGGATATCTGATCCTGAGAATTGATCCATGGGAACTGGAGTTGCAGACAGTTGTCAGCCACCATGTGGTGCTTGGAATCAAACCTAAATCTTCTAGAAGAGCAGCCAATGCTCTTGACCTCTGAGCCATCTCTCCAGCCCCAGAAACTTAAGAATGTAAGCTTCATCTCTTTGCTACCCTTCATGGGCAGCCACTAATAATATCACACATTAAGCTAGACAGTGTTGGTACATGCCTTTAATCCCATCACTCGGGAGGCAGAGGCAGGCAGATGTCTGAGCTTGAGGTCTACAGAATGTGTCCCAGGACATCCTGGGCTACACAGAGAAACCCTGTCTCAATTTTTAAAAAGTAAGATCACATTAAGCTGGACCTGGTTGTTCATGCCTGTAATCCCAACACCCAGGAGGCTGAGGCAGGGGGATTGCAAGTCCAGGCCAGCCTGGCTTCTTAGCTAGGACCTATCTCAACAAACTAAAAAAGGGAGTGCTTGCTTTATAAGCATGAGTATCTGAGTTCAAATCCCAGAACCTATATAAAATGCCGGGCATGGATGCTGTAAAGATAGTGTAACAGGTAAGAGTACTTGCTCTTGCAGAGGACCAGAGTTTGGTTCCCAGCATCCCTATGGCTCCGAGCTGTCTGTAACTCCAGTTTCAGGGAATCTGATGCCCTCTTCTGACCTCCATGGGTTCCTACACCCACATGATACACATAAGTTTATATAAGCATGCACATTTACACATGGAAGATTGTTTTAAGCAAATTATGGCCACATGTATGCTGCAACCCTAGTATTGTGGGAGGCAGAGACAAGATCATCACTGAGACCTGAAGCCTTGCTCCAGGTTCAGTGAGAGATCTGGTCTGAAGATATAAGGTAGAGTAGTGGTTCTCAATGTTCCTAATGCTGTGGTGAAGTCCCACCTCCCAATTATAAAATTATTTTTGTTGCTACTTCATAACTGTAATTTTAGTACTGTTATTAATCATAATGTAAATATCTGTGTTTTCCAATGGTCTTAGGCAACTACTGTCAAAGGGTCATTTGACCCCCAAAGGGATTTCAACCCACAGGTTGAGAACCAATGAGATAGTGACACAGTTATACTTGACATTGTCCTCTGGCCTCCTTGTGGACACACCAACCCACCCACACATGTACATACACCATACACATATTATATACAGAGAAAATCCTTGTGTTAGAAGGAAATGACTGAGGGGGAATAGGGGCTGGCTGATGTGAGGTGATGTTCTCTATGTTGATCTTTTTTCCTTTTGGTTTTTCAAGACAAGGTCACTTTCTAGCCTAGACTGGTCTCAAGCTCATGGTAATCCTCTCTCAGCCTCCCAAGTGCTGGGGTTTTAGGCATAAACTACAAAATTGGTTCTTGTGTTGATTTTTTTTGTGTGTCTGTTTGAGACAGAGTCTCACTGTGTGTACTCTTGGCTGACCAGCACTCTCTTTGTAGACTAGACTGTCCTTGAACTCAGAAATACACCTGCCTCTGCCTCCCGAGTGCTGGAATGAAAGATGTGTATCACCTTGTTTGGCCTGTGTGTTGGTGCTGTTTTCCTGGGTATACTTGAGTTATAAAAGTCCATTAGTTATGTTCTTATATTATTTTTACATACATACATACATACATACATACATACATACATACTTAGTATTTTAAGAATTACCTTCCTGGAGCCGGGCAGTGGTATCCACACCTAGTCCTAGCACTCTGGGAGGCAGAGGCAGGCAGATCTCTGTGAGTTCAAGACCAGCCTGGTCTACAAGAGCTAGTTGCAGGACATCCTCCGGAGGTGAGGAAATGGCTGAGTTGGTAAAGTAAAGTGCTTGATGCCTACTTGTAATGCCAGTATTGGGAAGACAGAGGCAGGCAGATTCATGGGACTCCCTGGCCAGCTAGCCTGATCTACTTGGCAAGCTTCAGGCCAGTGAGAGACTATCTGAAAAAAAATGAGGTGAACGGCTCCTGAGGAGTGATAACTGAGCTTGTCTTCCGGTCTCCATATGCACTTGCAGGTACACACGCTCAATAAGTACATGTGCTCTCATGCTAATGCACACAAACATGTACATGAAAAATTCCCTATTACTGTTCCAAAGAGTTTATTAATTTAAAAAATCCTCATTCCAGCACCACCACTGCCACCAGTTGTAGCTGACTTTTTCTATTGTGTTTGCCACCTATGGGATTTTCCATCCCTCTTACCATGGAGACTGATGTCACTCTGTGGGGCAAATGGGGGTGCTGTGGAAACAGTACTATTCCACATATCCATTAACAGCACCTCATCTGCCCATTCCAGAGTCAGCAGTCTTTGTTTATTTAATTTCTCTAGAAAACACACCTCCTGGGCTAGGGATTCAACTTGGTGGAATTGACATGCATGAAACCCTGGGTTTCATCCCCAGAACTGCATAAACCAGATAAAATCCCAGGATGGAGACAGGAGGACCAGAGGTTGAAGCTGGGGCTGGAGACATAGCTCAGCGGTTAAGAGTACAGAGGATCTGAGTTCTGTTCCCAGCACTCATATCAGACAGCTCACAACTGCCTGCAACTCCAGCTCCAAGGGATCTATTATCTCTGTTCTTCACGGGCACTGCATTCATGTGCATATACCCACAGACAAGCACACAGATACGCATGCATACACATAATTAAAAACAAGAAATTGAAGGTTATCCTTTGCTACATAGTGAGTTTGAGGGCCATCCTGGGCTACATGAGACCTTATCTCTGGCATGGTGGTATATATCTTAGTCCCAGTATTTGGGAAGCAGAAGCAGGCAGATTTTTGTGAGTTCAACGCCAGCCTGTTCTGCATATTGAGTGAGTTACAGGATAACCAGGGCTATATAGAGAAACCCTGTCTCAAAAAAAGCAGCGATGAGGTGCTGAAGGGATGGTTCAGTAATTTAGAGCACTTCTGCTCTTACAGAGGACCCAAGTTCAAGTCACAGCACCCATATAGTGGCTCACAGCCATCTATAACTCATAAATTCAGTTCCAGGAAATATGATTCCTTCTTCTGATCACTGGGTACTAGGCACACATGTGGACACATACATACAGGCAAAACATCCATACATAAAATTTTTACATCAAAAGAAGCCAGGTATGATGGCTTACACCTTTAAGCCCAGAAGGCAGAGGCAGGCAGATCTCTGAGTTTGAGGCCAGCCTGGTCTACAGAGTGAGTTCCAGGACAGTCAGGGCTAAACAGACCTTTTCTCAAAAACGCACGCACGCACTCACGTTTGAGGCCAGCCTGGTCTACAGAGTGAGTTCCAGGACAGTCAGGACTAAACAGACCTTTTCTCAAAAACGCACGCACGCACTCACATATGTGTGTGTATATATGTGCACATATATACATTTAGTGTCTATGTTTCTGGGGGGGCGGTATGTGCATATGAGAGCCCTGTTGCTAACAGAGGCCAGAAGCATGGGATTCCCCCTATAGCTGGACTTACAGACAGATGTGGGCCACCTGATGTGGGTGCCAGCTTGTCTTTGGCTCCTGTTGAGTACACTGTCCATATTCCTTTTGAGACAAAAGAGTAGAAGATACATATTGTCTGTCTCACTCAGGTTTGCATGCCTTCTCCTGTTAGAAACTTCAAACTGGACCAGAGAGGTGGTTCAGTCGTCAGAAGCATGTATTGCATCCACATTAGGAGGTGCAGGATTACATGTAACTCCAGTTCCAGGAAGATCCAACACCCTCTTTTGGCATCCACAGTCACTGTACTCACATGCACAATCCTATCCCATCCCATATACACATAATTTTAATTTAAAATAATAAAAATAACTCTGAAAAAGAAGCCTCCTGACTTTACTATATTAACCTTGTGTCCTGAGAGCTAGATGGATTTCTTTCTTAGGTCAGTTTTTCTGTGTGACTTGTAAGGATCCCTCCTGACCCTTTGCCTTTCCTCCTCTCCTCAGGCCTTGCTGCTGCTTCACCGACGCTTGGCAATCTGTAAGGAGCAGCACCTGGTGGAGCCTGCTGAGCTTCTAGTCCTCCTTAACCTGTCTTTTGTGTACCTGAAGCTAGACCGACCAGCCATGGCCCTGCGTTATGGGGAGCAGGCTCTGCTCATTGACCAAAGGAATGCCAAGGCCCTCTTCAGGTGTGGACAGGTGAGTTGAAGATAAATGAGAAGGAAGTGGGGAGAGGGGCTGAGGCAATAACTCAGTCAATAAAGCACTTACCAGGCATGCCAGTCTGGTAGCCTGAGCTCATTCTCCAGAGCCCAGGGTGCTAGAGCCCCACACTGAGGAGGCAGAAACAGGTAGACCCTGGAGTTCACTGGCCAGTCAACCTAGATGAATTGGGAGCATTGGAGCCTAGAGGAAGATCTTGTCTTAAAAATCAAGTGGGCTGCTCCCTAGAAGGAAGCGAGGTTGACCTCTGGTCTCCATCCACATGTGCACTTATGCACTCCCACACAGAGCGATAGGTCTCACTTGGCCACTAGCACAAATTCTAATCTCAATCTAATGCCCTGTCCCTTCCTCACAGGCTTGTCTCCTTCTAACTGAGTATGAGCAGGCCCGGGATTTTCTAGTGAGAGCTCAGAAGGAGCAGCCCTGCAACCATGACATCAATAATGAACTGAAGAAGCTGTCCAGGTGAGAGCACAGACCACAGTGAGTGGTAGCTGTAAGAATTCTAGTTGCCCCCTGCTGGCTCAGAAGCAGCCATCCCTTCTTCATGGTCCTTCATTCATTGTCCTGACCTGGCTATTCCTGAGTGGGGAAGCTTCACTTCTAAGCATTTCCCTCTTTCCTGTTGTACCATAGATTTCTAAACTCTATTAAAAGTTTTTGAAGATGGTGTGAGTACTGTGTGTGTGTGTGTGTGTGTGTGTGTGTGTGTGTGTGTGTAGGTATAGGACAGAAAACAACCTTGAGTGTTGTGCTTGGGGATTCAACAGTTAGATTGGGCTGGTGATTAGTCTCAGAGAGCCTCCTGTCTTCATCTACCCCCCACCCCATGCTGGAATTACAGACACTCCACACACTGGGTCTGGCTTTTTAACATGGTGCTGAGGATCTAAATTTGGGTCCTCACCTTACCAACTGAGCTATTTCTGTAGTCCCCCATGTGACCTTTAAAAAGGGTGTTGTAAAGCCAAGTATGATGGTCTACATCTATCCTAGAACTTGGGATATGCAGACCTTCTAGGGTATAAAATAAGACACTGTCTCAAAAACGAGGAAGCTTAGCAGCTGAGAATCCTTGGCATTCAAGTTATCCTCTGACCTCCATACATGGTGTGCACATGTACATACTAATAATATAATAATATAATAAATAAATGTGCAAAAAGCCTTTTTAGATCTCATCAGCACTCAGGAAGCAAAGGCAGGTGGATCTCTGAATTTAAGGCTACCCTGTCTACAGAGTGAGTTCCAGGACAGCTAGCGCTACACACTCCTTGCCTTGAAAACCCAAAATCAATTAATTTTTTAAAAGCTGTACTTAAGACTCTTACCTATTTCAAAATCACGTGAGACCCATTTTTCCTCATGGGCCTTTCTAGGACCACAAATGAGCTGGTGCTGTGTGACTCATTCATAAGTAAGAAGGACATTAATCTTTTGGAAATGTTAAGTTTTGGGAGGTCAGCAAAATGGTTCAGTAGGTAAAAGCTCTTGCTGCCAAGCCTGATGACCTGAGTTCCTTCTTAGGACCCATATGATGGAAGGAGAAAACTGGTTGATGCAAATTGTTCTCTGACCTCACAAAGACACTTGAACTCGCCCCCAATACATACAAGAAAAATGTAATTATAAAAATGAAAAATGAAAGCTTTATAAAAAAGTGTGACTTTTTCTGACTAGAGAAACTGTATTTGCTATAGAGAACCTGAAAACGGCCTCCCATAAGTTCTAGGACAGCCAGAATTTTGTTTTGGCTTGGTTTGGTTTTTGAAGACAGGGTTTCTTTGTGTAGTTCTGGCTGTTCTAGAACTTGCTTTGTAGACCATGCTAGGCTGGCTTTGAATTCAAAGAGATCGGTCTGCCTCTGCCTCACCCATTCTGGGGCTAAAGGGGTGTGCACCATGCCCAGCAGACAGCCACCATTTTTAACATGTATGTTTGTTCTGCCTTGGTAAGATTCTCTCCTTAGCATTCATTAAGCATTCTATCACCATTGCTGAGGTCTTTAAGATGTGTGCATCATTTCTGTTTGGATATAGTCACTGCGCTGCTGGTCTCTTTGGGTTTTCCAGGTGCTCAAGTCTGGTATGGAAAAGGGTCCTCTCAGGTTAGGTACCAATCCCAATTATGGGGGGATCTGACCATTCCTTAACAAGAAAATCTCAAAATGAGTTTGAAGTCACTTAGCACAAGGAGTTTCTTGGCAGGACTTGGCCTGAGCCCACTGGCAGTGACTTCTGCCTTCCCAGCTGCTGTCTTTCCAAATGAGGGCCTTATGTCCAGTACTGTCTTCAGTGGGTTCAGCTTTGCCTGTCCCTGAATCTCCACAGTGTCATCTCCATTGGCTGCTGTCAAATGTTACCAGAGAATTCCAGCCACCAGATGTCATCTCCTGCAAACCTACAAAGCTTGCCTTTCTTTCTACAGCCACTACAGAGACTACGTGGACAGAGAGAGAGAGATGTGTCACCGGATGTTTGCTCCCTGTGGGAGCAGCTCCTCGGTGGGAAGAAACTGAAGGTACAAGGCTAAGCATGCATGAGAGGATTCAGGGTTCTGTCCATTGGGGAAGATATCCTCCTCAGCAAGTCTTTGTGACCAGTGGCTATCTCCACTGAGGACAGCATAGGACAGAGTGGGTCACTGAGGTAGGAGGACTTGGAGGTTACATTTATTATTTGGCAGATCCTGAACTTTCCCATTCAAAAGACTTTTTTCATGGTTTGTGAAATTAAACTCTCTGCAAAGTTCCTTAGAACTGAAGCAATGAATGAAGTCATTAGGATGACACTTTAGCTGGGCTTGAAAGAGAAGAACTGAGTTTGTTTTGTTACTGTGTTTTGGAGATAATTTCATATAGGCCAGACTGGCCTGGAACTGACTATGTAGCTGAGAATAATCTTGAACTTCTGATCCTCCTGCCTCTACTGAGTGCTAAAATTACAGGCTTGTGCCACCACAGACTGATTAGTGTAGTACTGGGGGTGGAACCCTGGGCCTTCTGTGTGCTAGTGTATACTAGGCAAGCACTCTACCAACCAGCTGAGACACATTCCCAGCCTGTGAGTGTGTTTGTGTGTGTTTTAATTATATGTTTGTGTTTATGTATCTGTTGGCATATTCACATGAATGAAGATGCATGTTAAATCAGAAGAGGATGTCACATCGTCTCGAGTTGGAGTTATAGGTAGTTGTGAGCCTTCTGGTATAGGGCAAGGATCTGAACTCTGGTCCTCTGCAAGAGCAATATATGCTTTTACACTCTGAGCCAATTCTCCAGCCCTCCTCTTTGTTTTTTGAGATAGTTTTCTTGTATAACCCACGTTGGCCTGGAACTCACAATTCTTCTGTCTCAGCCTCAAGAGTATAGTAGGATTAAGGTGGGCAGTAGTAAGCCAGGCATGGTGGCACACATCTTTAGTCCCAGCACTTGGGAGACAGAAGCAGGCAGATCTTTGTGAGATTAAGGCCAGCCTGGTCTATAGAGTGAGTTCCAGGACAGCCAGTTACATAGTAAAACCCTGTTTCCAAAAATAAAACAAAAAGAGTACTAGGATTAAGCCTGGTGTTGGCACACACCTTTAGTCCCAGCACTTGGGAGGCAGAGGCAGGCGGATCTCTCTGAGTTCAAGGCCAGCCTGGTCTACAGAGCGAGTGCCAGGATAGACTCCAAAGCTACACAGAGAAACTCTGTCTCGGAAAAAAAAAAGTATTAGTATTACAGGGGTACTCCCTTATGCCTGTGTGTGTGGTGCTGAGCATTAAACTCGGGGCCTCACATATGCTAGGCAAATGTAGGCAAGGTGCTCTATCACTGAAAAGCTCGGGCTTTTTGTTTGGTTTGTTTGTTTGGGGGGGGGTTGGTGGTTGTTTACAAGACAGGGTTTCTTTGTATAACTTTTAGAGCCTGCCCTGGAACTAGCTCTTGTAGACCAGGCTGGCTTCGAACTTACAGAGATCCACCAGCCTCTACCTCTCGAGTGCTAGGATTAAAGAAAAGCCTGACAGTCAGGCTTTTCTTATTCTGGGTTTTCCCTAGAACTTGAAAGCCTCCAACCTCAGTTACTCTAACACAGTACTAAAGAAGACAAAAATCCCAGTGTTGAGGTTTTGGGCTGTGTTGTGCTTTTTCAGTTCTAGTAACTACCAGAATTCAAAATTTGGAGATGCCGAACCCTGAAAAAGGAGAACTTGCCATTTCTGTCAGGCAGCGTCAGTTTGTGATTGAGCAGGCAGTGTCCCCACAAGTACACAAGGTAACCTTCCAGTCTGTTCTGCTGCTACTTAAGAAAATTAATGGGAACAGAATTACCTGCCCTAAACACCTGTTCAACCAGGTCCAGAGCCCTGCTCTCCTGAGAAAAGTTAAACAAGGAAAAAAAAAAGGAAGCAGATGCTGAGCGGGCTCCTGCTATAAATCTGGTCTTTGTTGCCCCTCTGTGTCTACAAAAGCAGCTTGAGAGGAGAGGCCATGAAAGGCCCATTCATCCCTGTGCTCATGGCGTCTCTGAAGCACTGCTGTCTGCTTGGCAGATGCCACCAGTCAGCTCCTTTGCACATGACTTTTTGACCCTATCCTCTGGGACCTGGAGAACTTCTGGACTAAGCTGAGAGCCAGAGACATCTTCTCTTTGGCTCTTGTAACCTTCAGTAGAGACATAAGACATCTGTTTCCTAGACCTGTGGGTGTACGGGTCTGTGTGGCTGCAATGTGTATATACAGCTGCGCTGGCACTCTGTGTCTGTCTCTCTGCGCCCGTGCCCCTCCCCCAATTCTGTGTGGTGGGATGGTCATGAACTCCTGGTTCCCATTCAGCACATTCAGTCAACACTGCTTGATGAGTAGATCTGCCCGCACACTGCTCACTTCTCTGTAACACAGGCAAAAGACTAGCAACAGAACAGACAGATGTATAAACCTTCACTCCATCCACCCTACAAATAACTGCAGCCTTCCTTAGGAGTTAACAGACTTTGGTCTGACAATACTGGGCAGAGAGAGGTAATGGTCCCAGGCCAAACTTAAGATCTGTTCCCATATGACATTCAGGTAAAAAGGAACAACTCTTTACACAAAGCCTGTTTAAACACTCAGACTTTCATATCCATATACTTGTTTTTGTCACACTCCCCAAACCCTGGCCCTGCTGGGTTCATGTAAAACAGCTCTCAGTAGTTGTTTCTTCCTTAGGAACTTCTCTAAGTGTGTCTGAAAGTAAGGAGCATCCAGCGTCTGAGCTCTTCCCTTGCCTGGGATACTTATTTTCTGTGTGTGTTTTGACTTTTCTAGTTATGGGTCTAGGCACCATTGAACAATTGAGAATGCACCAGTGGAAGCCTGTGGAATAGCTCAGTGGTATAATCAGTACCTGCCTAGCATGCACGAGGGCCTGGGTTCAGTCCCGAGCATTGCCACAAAACAAAACACAGTAAAGAGACTGTACCATAGAAAAGTTGGGGCAGACATTTGGACTGAGTGGTCTAAAGGCTAAGCCAGTGAGAACCAACCAGAGTGCTTTGGGATCCCAAAAAGCAGAAGGAAGGGGTTTGTGTTGAATACCATCCCCAACACTGAATTTTTTCCTCAGAAGCATTTTTAAAGTAGTGTATACAAGTACTTTTTTCACCACTTTTCTACTTTCTAGTGAAGATGAAATTTATTTATTTTGGGTTTTCAGGACAGGGTTTTAGTGTAGTTTTGGAGCCTGTCCTTCGCTCTGTAGACTAGGCTCGCCTTGAACTCACAGACTCCCAAGTGCTGGGATTAAAGGCATGTGCCACCACTGCCCAGTGAAGATGAAATCTTGTACACGTTTTTTGACTATCTGTATTCTTTTTTTTTTTTTTGCTATCATTGGTTTTTTTTTTTTTAAAGATTTTTTTTTTTTTGTTTACAAAATTTTTTTTTCATTTATTTCTGCACACCAGAAGAGGGCACCAGATCTCATAGCGGATGGTTGTGAGCCACCATATGGTTGCTGGGAATTGAACTCAGGACCTCTGGAAGAGCAGTCAGTGCTCTAAGCCATCTCTCCAGCCCGACTAACTGTATTCTTTATGTAAATTTTCTACTGATCCTTTGTCCTTTCTTATTTATTTGTTGTTGTAAAAACAAAAAAAACAAAAAACCTTTGTTTGGTCTGGAGAGTTGGCTCATTGTTTAAGAGTATTTGCTGCTGTTTTCCAATTCTCAGCACCCATCTTTGGGTGCTCATAACTACTTGTAATTACAGTTCAGGGACTACAACAACCTCTTCTGGCCTCCTTGAGTACTGCACTCAGGGACACACACTCCCAAACACGTCATCAAAAATAAAACAAATCAAGCCAGGTGGTGGTGGTGCACACCTTTAATCCCAGCACCTCGGAGTCAAAGGCAGGTGGATCTCTGAGTTCAGGGCTGGCCTTGTCTACAGAGCAAGTTCCAGGACAGCCAGGGCTACACAGAGAAACCCTGTCTCAAAAAGCAAAACAAAAGAAATGTTCTTTGTCCTGCCCATCAGTTCCCTCAGCAGCTTATGAAATAACACTCTGAGGTTTAATATTAAATGTAATTGTTTAGCCAATGGCTTGGACATATTACTGGCTATATCTCTATAAATTAACCCATTTCTATTAATCTTCATTATAATGAGGCTGTGGCATGTTACTCCTTTGGCTTTCTGACTCCGCCTTCCTTCTTTCTGCATCTTTGGATTTCCTGCCTAGCTATATTTTGCCTGGCCATTGGCCAAAGCACCTTTATTCATCAACCAATAAAAGCAATGCATATTCACAGCATACAGAAGGACATCCTAGATCGAAGAAATCTTAAACTCCATAGTGTGGTGTCCATGTTTATGTATACGTGCATGTGTAAGTCAGAGGTCAACTTAAGTGTCAACTGCTCACCCTCTTTATTTTTGGACTCAGCTAGACTGGTTGGACAGTAAGGCTCAGGAAGGAATCCCATGGCTTTGGTGCTGGGTATCAAATTCATACCCCTGTGCTTGCGTGGCATTCACTTTATTGACTGAGCCGTCTCTCTGGCCTACATATACATATTATTTTTCATATTAGTTTATCTGTGCATGTGTTTGTGGATGTGTGACTGTCATGGCATGTGTGTGGCGGTTAGCTCTGTCTTTGACCACATGGGTTCTGGAGATAGAACTCAGTTCATAAGACTTGTTGACAAGTGCCTTTACCTACTGAGCCATATTGCCCTTTTTATTTTTTCCCCATTTTATGTGTATGAATGTTTTGCCTTAATGTATTTTTGTACCACATGCATGCAGTGTCCTCAGAGGCCAGAAAAGGGGGTCAGATTCTCTGGCATTGGAGTAGAGACTGTTGTAAGCTGCCCTGTTATATCTGCTTTATGCAAATTGTCTATCAGTGCCCTTTGCCCTCCTAGGGTTGTTTTGTCAATATCTGAACTGGTTTCTGTGAAGTATCACAACTAAATCCCAAGGTAGCTTAGTGGGTAAAGGAACTTGCTGTCAAACCTAATGACCTGAGTTCTGTCCCCAGATGCCACA